GTGCTCTCTCTCTGACAAATATAGGAGAATGAATATATGATTAGTATAGGCCTCCTTGGCGGTCTCCCCCCTGGGTTCTCGCCTCCTTCAGACTGTTTTCCATTCTGCTGATAAAAAGCACGGATCTGCTCTAATACCCTCCTAATCCCAAAGAATGAGCCAGGCTTTAAGTATCTGCTTATCATTTTCAGGGCCTACATGTTCAACACCTCAGATATTTTGCAATTTTTCTAAACACTCTGTCTCCTCCAGGACATACATCATTTTTCTTTTCCTGTAATAGCTCCTCCTTTTTTTCCTCCTCCCTCCTTTTATCCACCTAGTTAAGTCATATCCATAGAAATCTAGCTCACAAATCATCTTCCCTGACCCCTCAGGGAAGAATACATTGCTACCTCTTCCTCTTCCAAAATCCCTGTCAGGTTATTATGATTTATTTGCTTACAATTCCTTTCTCACTGTTACATTATAATTATTCATTTACAATATCTCACTCACTATCTTTTCCAATGCCTTAAAGGCAAGGCCTGACCTTATTCTATCTGGCCTGGTACCTGGTGTATAGTAGGCATTCAATAAATGTTTGAGTTAATTTAATTACTCCAAAAAATAATATTTGCTGTGGTATGGTTACCATGTTGGTTTCCGCATTTTCCTTTTGTTTCAGAACATGAACTGATCCCTGATCCCTTAAAGTCCCTCTGAGATTTGTCATCCGTAAATACATCCTCTAAGATTCTCTCTCTCTCTTTTTTTTTTTCCTTGACAGAACATATTCCTAAAAACCTTCTTTATCAATTTGACTCTCCTCACTTTCTCTGGAGACTCTTTGAATGCTTTGACGTCAGCATAAAAATCATCCCCACCACCACCACTTGTTGAATTGATAAAGTTGTTAGTATTCCAGGTTTAAAATGATAGTGACAGCCTAGTCCCTGTAGAGAGTTCGGCAGGAGAGCATGCAGTCTAGGCTGTGAGGAGACAAGGCTGAGAGAGAAGAAAAGTAAGCGTGAGACGTTGTGGTCGTGGACAATATAAGGGCAACAACAAAGAGAATCATACCCTCTCCACAGCTTTGACTCTGGGTTGGCTGTCATCCAGCCTGACGGCAATCATTAGACAGTGGACTGTTCTCCACAGTAGCTCGGGGGCAGCCCTAACGTCAATCCTTAGCCCAACAGAACGCACCTTCCTTTCAGGCCACCCCAAGACCCCTCTGGGAATTCAGGTTTTAGGGGTAGCATCAGGCTTGCCTTACTTTAAACCTGTACCTCTTAGCTAATCTAGTGAGGTAAGGTGACAGATGTTCAGTCTTGTGGCATTTACAAGCTCTTACATTCATTACCATGGAGGTGGTCTGAATTGGTGGAAAGAAGGAAAGCCTTGGGCCAATCCCTTGGTAGGTAAGCATGCCTTGCTGCTCATCTCAGTTTCTCCTACTCTGAGAGAGGTGACAATATGGGCCCACAGAAAACTCTTTTGGAAAGCACTTTGATAGACATTCCTTTTTTTTTAGCCCAGGGTGATGCAAAGAAATGTCAGTGACGACATTACTTAGCTTCTAATTATCCTGCAGGGAAATCCTTCTAGTTCAGTCCACCTCTTTCAAAACCTTTCATATCTTTTATATTACCCACATGTTTGTCCCCACTTCCCTTTATTTGTCCCTGCTGTATTGTCAACGTCACGGCTGGCTATTTACTGCAATGGAATCTTGTTCGGTGTAATTATGTAAATATTTTCAGAAAGTCAAGGTCATATTTTCTAATTAATAGCATGCATTTTTGTTCTCAAGTAAATAAGATGCTATTCAGTGGGAAATATTTCAGTTCAATTCTGGGTGATTTCAGTTCAATTTGTGTGTGGTTAAGTAACTAGTCCTATGCTTCCCCTGTTTGCAGCCTCAGCTTTCTCTTTCTCTCATGGCCAATTACCTAAATCCCCGACTTAGGTCTCCATTTCTGTGAGCATTTACCTGAAATGTCCTAACTTGCTTGGGTGTGTACAGTTTCTTTTTAGGAAATATGTATAAAAATAGTTTTTTACTTAGAAGTTGTGTTTCTCTTTTAAAAACTAACCTTGAACCCTTTACTCCCTTGTTTGGGAGACCACCATTTTGTTGCAAAAATGTAACAAATCTTGTTTAAAATCTATTCATTCCGGGCGCCTGGGTGGCTCAGTTGGTTAAGCGACTGCCTTCGGCTCAGGTCATGATCCTGGAGTCCCGGGATCGAGCCCCGCATCAGGCTCCCTGCTCAGCGGGGAGTCTGCTTCTCCCTCTCCCTCTGCTTGACACTCTCCCTGCTCTCTCTCTCTGTCAAATAAATAAATAAAATCTTTAAAAAAAATAAAATAAAATCTATTAATTCCTAGAACGAATGTGATAGTGATGCCCAGTGCCCAGGAATATCTTTCCAAAAGATAAACAGACACATTGGCTGCAGAAGTTGTAGCCAGTACTTTTGGATAAATTCTCCATGGTATATGTCCACCTCTGTTTAGATTTTTCTTCAGGACTTGCTGCCTGCAGTTGGAATAGCTTTATGGCTTCCTGTCCTTCAGATGCCTGTGCTCTGCAGTCGTGTTTTCTTGGTCTTACATCACTAATGTACTTGGAAGTTTTAAGTTTCAGGATCAAGACTTACTTTCTGGTGCCAGCAAAGGTGTAGCCTGGGTCCTCCTTCTGGCGGCTGGAAGCCTCCCACCTCATCTGCTTTGAACGGAACACTCTCTTTAGAACGCTTTCTTTAAGAAACTTGGAGATGATCTTTTCCCTTTGAACATTACTGAATACTTTGCCTTCTGGAAGCCAGCTGGTCTTGTCACATCCACTGTGGCAGAGGGGAAGAGGAAGGTGCTCAGGAGACACAACAGCCCTCTTTGGAACAAAAAAAGGAATTGCCATTTACCTAAAAGTCATGAATAAGAGATCAGCCTAACTAGAAAAACAACCCAGTGTCCTGCAGGTGCTATGCTGTGGGATCAATTTAGTTAATAACACAGAGCTACTACCTGAGCGACGCGGCTGGCCCTTCCTAGCAACTCACCGTCACAATCAGAAAGGGAGTGCAGGCTTAGGAGGATTCTCTCTCATCTTTTCTTTGAGAAAATAATAATACGTTACCGCTGTGGTTATGGAAATGGAAATGTATTGATCATGGAAGAACAGAATTAGAAATAAGACAAATCCCAAACAAGACACAAAATAGAAGGATCTGTTTTGTCAGAGCACATTCGTTCTGTAGGCTGAGACCTGGCTGGCTGAGATCAAGATCACACAGCTAGTTAGCAGCGGGGGTGCTAACTCTGGTCCTGAACAGTGTTCTTTCCCCTGCAGCAAGAGATAGAGAAGGTGAAGGAGGTGGATTCCTTGGAGAAGTCTTATCCATTGCAAAAGACATTTATCCATCCATTAAATAAAGTTTATTTAAAAATAAAATATCATAATTGTGGTCTACTTCTGATTTCAGCCAAGGTCAATAAACCAGATAACTAGAAACATTCCATCAGTTGCTATTTAGAGCAATGATTAAGAACATATGGTGGGGATGAAGGGAACAGTATAGGGAATATAGTCAATGGTATTGGAATAACATTATATATATATATCATATATGTATCAATTTATATATATTGATATATCTATATATTTTTTCATGCAGTATAAAGAATCAATTTTAATATATCACTTCCTTGGCCTGTTGAATGGCTTAAAACATGGTTTGTTCTTTTCGATTTATATAAATATTTAGAGTACTACACTCAAGTTTGCTTGGAAGAAAGAAGTCTCTATCAAAATATTCTACCACCCTCACTTCCACCAGCTCCCTTCTCTTTCCAAAAACACCTACGACATAATGAGAATCACATTCTATTCGAGTGGCTCTGGTTCTATATCATATTTTAAGTTTATTTAAAGTATACCTTTTTGTGTATGTTTAAAAGTCTTACTTTTTAAAGTTTGCAAATGGAAACTGAACTGGAAAGTTAAGAAGTGAAAGTTGGTATCTTCCGCTCTGGGCACTAATGTACCCTACGATATAATCCTAAAGTTTTTATAGTCTTGGTCAAGGGTTTTTAAGTTTGGTAAAAAGCTAGCAAACACTCCCAGCTCTTGCCCTGGCATGCCTGGCTTCCATGGCTCTCCCTGATCACTTTGAGGTATGATTCCCAGCCAGTGCACGGGACAGGGCAATGACAGTGAACCTGGCTCCTTGGGTGGAGCATGCTGAGATTAAGGAGTAGCTAGAACAACCCTTATTATTTGCACGTTTGCCCCAAATCTGGGAATAGCTCTTGGCACCTTCTCTCTGGCTCAGGGCTATGCCATTGAGTGTGGTGGCTTAAGATGATTTAGTACTTCCGCTCGGGGTCCACAGTGAAGAATGGCTTCTGCTGCTCAAGCTAGAATTGAACATTTTGTTTCCTTTGTCAGTTTGGGTAAGAGAATACGCAGCAGGTTGGCTTCTTACCTGTGTTAATTTGGACATTTCCACAGTTTTGGGCGATGGAGCTCTTTCCCCTGTTCTGCTCAAGAACTGTGTGGATGTAAGCGCTCTCCCTCAGGGCCCCGAGGATCTGTGGAGTCTGAATTACATGTGCCCAGGGTGCATGGCCCGTGCGGAGTGCCAGCCGGAGAAAGAGCCCTGGAGGTGTGCAGCCTGGCTTCCCCTCTTCCCTTCAGGAAAGCACCTGCTTTCCTCAGGTCTTGCTCATGTTCAGGCAGGAAACCGGAGTTTCTGCCTGAAATCCCTGTAAGACTTGGCAAGGTGTTTTTGACTGGCTGATTTCCTCTGGTTTGAAGATCAGATGAGCCCTCAGGGTTCCAGGCGAAGGTCCAGGCCATTGTGACTCTCAGAACGCTAAGCGATCAGAGACCAGAAAAGGGATTCCACGGCATCTCCTCAGAGGTGTACAAAAGCATGGAGAAATAACAACAGCAAGGGGCTCCACCCTTCCAATTCTTTATTTGTTCTTCTCTCTAACTCCAGCGGGTGGTCATGGGGACGGCCAAGAACAACCACTTCACACTGAAACTTCCTCTCCTAGACAAACCGAAGACACCCAAAAACTACGCACAGCCTGAGGTTCTGCATCACACCTTTGAGACTCTGTCCAACCTTCACAGACTGCTGCCAAACCATCTGATGGAGACACTTTATTCCTACAAGAGGGAAGAGGACAAACAAAATTGTACGTGGGTAGAGGGTGGTGTGAGCTCTTTTAACAAGCACACACTTTATCTTGGCTCAAACTTCTTCTTTTAGCCACCAGTAAGAACTAGCTTTTTTTTTTTTAGAGAGAGAGAGAGAGAGAGCTGGGGGAAGGTCAGAGGGAGAGAGAGAGAGAGAGAGAATCCCAAGCACACTCCCCGCAGAACACAGAACCCCACAGGGGGCTTGATCTCATGACCTTGAGATCATGACCTGAGCTGAAATCAAGAGTTAGATGCTCAACTGACTGAGCCACCCAGGTGCCCCAAGAACTGCCTCTCTACATGGCGGGTGTGGTCCGTCCTTGAGACCCATGGACCCGTGGATAGCGTGCCCAGTGATGGACTCCACCATCACTCCTTCACATTCCTTTTCTTTCACTGGTCTTTTGTGAACAGAGATAGGTCTGTCACTCCTCTTTCGGCAAAGCTTACCTGTGGAATGATGGAAACTGGACTAAGTGGGAAATTACCACTAAATTTACAGGTGTAGGTGTGATTTTGAGATGAGTGAGAGAACTTCCAAGTTGAAGGTGGGGCTTTGATGTTTATTCCTTTGCTCTCTTTCCCGCTGCTTCTTCCTCCATTTGTACCACCCCAGAGAGAAGCCAGATATTCCCCCCGAAGATTACAAATGACTTTCCCTTTCTGGAGTTTGGAGTGGCCCTCCAATTCTGGAATTCCATCAGGGCAGTTGATAACTGAACTGATCTGCAGAATTGGGTGGAGCCTGCTTCCTGAATTGTTTATGCTTCAGGGAAGGGCAAAGGTAGCTGGTAGCCACTTGTGCCCATGAACTTAGAAACAAAGTAGGAGCTACCACAGTGATTAAGACACAAGTCAGGGGTAGGAAGGTTTGATGGCAAATTTGTCCATTTGTATTCTGGTTAGTCCCTGGTCCCTGAATGCACAATATTATGAATTGACCCCAACATCCAGATTACACTAACAATTACATAAAAATAGTTAAGGAAAATATAAGGAACCTACTACAAGTGACACATGTCATAGGCAATTCACAAGATGAAATGCAAATTATCAATAAGCATGAGAGATGTTCAAACACTCTGGTAATCAAGGAAGCAGAAGATAAATCAAGGTGGCATTTTTTAGGCCAGCATGCTGGTCAAATCTTGAAAGATCAATAATGATGAACAGGTGGGGAAATTAATACCCTCCCAATCACTATTAGCATGCTTACTGATTCAGGCTTTTTTGAAGATAATTTGAAAGTCTTTGTCAAAATTAAATGTATGTTACTGGCTTTGTAAAAAAAATTTTTATTGTTATGTTAATCACCATACATTACATCATTAGTTCTTGATGTTGTTACTGGCTTCTTAAATGAGTTGAACTGGGCAAAGAGTAAGTAGAAACTAATTTTCTTTTTTCTCACAACTTCCCCTTTGGCCCGTTCTGTTGTTCTTTGCTCATCAGCTTTGGGTGAAACTACAAGCAGATCTCAGAGCTTTCCTGGTCGTATTCATTCAGATAACAAAATGTCCACTATAATGCCCACATTCTAAACCCTCAACCAGAGTAAAGACCTCTCTGCTCCCCATCGCTCTGGCCTGACATAGACTCAGAGACTGGGAGTCGGCCTGCGACGTGGTGGGGATTTTTTTTTTTTTTTTATCATTCCATCCCCGCTCACTGGCTGCTGTTTGGTTGACAAGGGTGAGGGTGGAAAGAACTGAAAAGTTTTCCTTGATGTGAAATATCAGATTGTCACCTGTCATTTGTGCCTTCTAGGGGTGACAGCTTTCCAAAGCTGGCCTCTTCTTTCCCGGGCATCTGGTGGGTTCCCTTGCTGGAGGTCTCTCATTCACTCAGCCTCCTGCTGACGTTTCCCCTCCTCCATCCCGACCCCTGGCCCAGCTTCTGTAGGCTGTGCTCCCAACGTGTTTCAGTGGAGACTGCCTCACTGGGTGACAGAAGCCCTCTTGAGAGCCTATTCAAGATGACTCAAAACTGATCCATTTCCAGGGGGGTCGCATATAACATGTAGAAAACTTGACCCCCTGTCCTTCATACCTTCTTCACCCAGCTGGTGAAAATACAAGTGACTCCCAACACTGACCTTGTGTCTCTGTGGCCACAGGCAGCTGTGGTCCTAACCAATTATCTTATACTTTCTGAGGTATTAGGGCTGAGCTGTGTCCCCCAAAATGATATGTTGAAGTCTTAACCCCCCAGTATCCCAGGATGTGAACTTATTTGGAAATAGGGTCTTGAGAGAGGTGCAGATGTAATTAAGAGGAGGTCAACTGGAGTGGGGTGGGTTCCTAAACCAATATGACTCTCCTTGTAAGAGGACAGAGACACAGAGAGAGGAGATGGCCATATGACAACAAACGCAAAGATTGGACTGATGCATCTGTAAGTCACGATAACACCAGGGATTGCCAGCAAAAATTAAAACCTAGGAAGAGGCAAGGAAGAAACCTTTCTCCTAGAGGTTTCAGAGGGACCACAGCCCTGATGACACCTTGGTTTCAGACTTCCAGCCACCCGAACTGGGAGATAATACATTTTTTGTTTTAATCCACCCAGACTGTGGCACTTTATTATGGCAGTCCTAGGAAATGAATACATCAGGTGTTAGGGGACACAGCCCAGTTCCTCAGGTAGTTCTCTTATTTATTTACTTATTATTTTTTTTAATTTAAATTCAAATTAGTTAACATATAGTGTAGTATTGGTTTCAGGAGTAGAATTTAGTGAATCATCACTTACATATAAAACCCAGGGCTCAACACAAGTGCCTTCTTTAATGCCTAGCCCCATCTAGCCCATCCCCCCCACCTCTCCTCCAGCAACCCTCAGTTTGTTCTCTTAACTATCGTCTCCTATAGTTAGAGAGCCTCCCTCTCTGTTTTTTTTATTTTTTAAGATTTTATTTATTTTATATAGAGAGATTGAGAGTAAGCAAGCAAATGGAGGGGCTGAGGGGGAGGGACAGGGACAAGCAGACTCCACGCTGAGCAGGGAGCCTGACACGAGGCTTGATCCCATGACCCTAAGATCGTGACCTGAGCTGAAATCACGAGTCGGGTGCTCAACTGACTGAGCCGCCCAGGTGCCCCTCCCTCTCTGTTTTTTTCTTATTTTATTTTTCCTTCTCTTCCCCTATGTTCATCTGTTTTGTTTCTTAAATTCCACATAAGAGTGAAACCATATATTTGTCTTTCTCTGACTGACTTATTTTGCTTAGCATTATACCCTCTAGTTCCATCCACGTCGTCGCTAATGGTAAGATTTCATTCTTTTTCCGTTGTAAATATATGCCACATCTTTATCCATTGTTGATAGTGCTGCTATAAACATTGGGGTGCAGGTGCCCCTTCAAATCAGTACTTTTGTGGGCACCTGGGTGGCTCAGTTGGTTAAGCGACTGCCTTCGGCTCAGGTCATGATCCTGGAGTCCCAGGATCGAGTCCCGCATCGGGCTCCCTGCTCAGCAGGGAGTCTGCTTCTCCCTCTGACTCACCTCCCTCCTCTCATGTGCTCTCTCTCTCTCTCAAATAAATAAATAAAATCTGTAAAAAAAAAAAACAAATCAGCACTTTGGTATCCTTTGGGTAAATACCTAGTAGTGCAATTGCTGGGCTGTAGAGTAGTTCTATTTGTAACTTTTTGAGGAACCTCCATACTGTTCTCCAGAGTGGCTGCACTAGTTTGCATTCCTACCAACAGTGCAAGAGGGTTCCCCTTTCTCCACATTCTTGCCAAGACCTGTTGTTTCTTGTGTTGTTGATTTTTACCCATTCTGACTGATGTGAGGTGATATCTCACTGAGGTTTTGATTTGGATTTCCCTGATGCTGAGTGATGTTGAGCTTTTTTTCATGTGCCTGTTGGTCATTTGGATGTCTTCTTTGGAGACATATTTGTGCATGTCTTCTGTCCATTTCTTGACTGGACTTTTTGTTTTTTTGGGTGTTGATTTTGATGAATTCTTTGTAGAGTCTGCTTACTAGCCCTTTATCTGACATGTCATTTGCAAATATCTTTTCCCATTCGATAGGCTGCCTTTTAGTTTTATTGATTGTTTCCTTCACTGTACAAAAGCTTTTTATCCCAGTAGTTCATTTTTGCTTTTGTTTCCCTTGCTTCCAGCGATGTGTCTAGCAAGAAGATGCTGTGGTCAAGGTCAAAGAGGTTGCTGTCTGTTTTTCACCTCTAGTATTATCAAAATGGGTTCCTGTCTTACATTTAGATCTTTCATCCATTTTGAGTTTATTTTTGTGTATGGTGTAAGAAAGTGGTCCAGTTTCATTCTGCATGTTGCCATCCAGTTTTCCCAATACCATTTGTTGAAGAGACTGTCTTTTTCCATTGGATAGTCTTTCCTGCTTTGTCGAAGATGAGTTGACCATAGAGTTGTGGGTCCCAGGTAGTTCTCTTAAAGTACCTTCCGTTGCCAGGGGGAGGAGAGATGCTATGGTGCACAGCATTTCAAAAACTCGGCCTAAAGAAATCTCCACATGCCTTAAAGAATGTTTAGCTTTTTCTTGTTTGTTTGTTTTTTTAAAAAGATTTTATTTATTTGTCGGAGAGAGTGCGTGCACACAAGCAGGGAGAGCGGCAAGCAGGGGGAAAAGCAGGCTCCCGCGGAGCAAGGAGCCCGATGTGGCGTTCGATCCCAGGACCCCGGGACCATGACCAGAGCCGAAGGCAGACGTTTAGCCTACTGAGCCACCCAGGTGTCCCATGTTTAGCTTTTTCTTGTGTACATAGGTATGTTGTGCATAGGTGGGTAACTGCCACCTACCAGATTTTTCTCAGATTGTGTGGCTTTAGGACAAAACCGAGACAACAGAAAAACTCACATTTTAACATCCCATTACATACTCATGCCCTTTGACTTAGCAATTCCCCTTCTAGTTAGTGTCTTAGGGAAATTCTTGCACCAGTGCACACAGATGCAGGAAGGAGTGTGTGTGCTGAAGCATTGTTTATCATGATGACAAATTGTAAACAGCCTCATGTCATTCAATAGCAGAACAATTAAATAAACGGATACATCCGTATTATGGAATACTATTACAAAGGAAGCTGATGTTAAAATATTTATAAAATGCCCTGTAGAATATTAAAAAATATGCTGCAAAATAAGAAACACTGGTTCCATTTATACCAAAAGAAGACTGTATACCTGTACATATAGACATGTACGTACATGCAGAGGGAAGAGTTTGGAAGGAGACACATCACATTGAGGCCGGTGGCTACCTCTAGAGAAAGAGGAATGAAGATGTTCCCTTTAACTATGTATACTACTTTAAGTTGTCTGATTTTATTTGTTCCAATGGAAATCTTTTCGTGTATTTTTGTAATGAAAACGCAATTTTACCATTGAAAATGCATTCAGTGTATATGTGAGGTTGGAGAAGCGAGTTTTGATTTTCTAGTGATATTCCAGTTATATGTTGATTACAATTTTGTTCCCTTAGCCTCCCAACGTAGACACTGAGAGGTATTGATACCCCTCTAGCCACTGGTAGTGTTCCTGCCAGATAAAACCTCTGCTCATGATCACTGAGGTCCCTCTGTTTCAGAGGGGTTGGGCTGCAGGGTCTCTTTGCTGGTTGGAAGTCAGTTGAAAGTGCATGATGTAGCTGACATGAATGGCATTCAGAGGAAGAAATGTTTCCTCAGAGTCCTGGGTCTGAGGCAGAATCCAGTCATTGAGGGGACATTAGCCTCTGAGACCCTGAATTCTTCACTGAAAGACTGCTTCATTTCCAGAATGCCATTTCCAGTGAAGGCTTGAAGGTACATATGCAAGAGATTACCCTATTTCTCACACTTTCATCTGTCAGATTATGAATTCAATAATGGATGCCGATGGCTCACTGCTACATGTCTAAAGCCTTCCATCTAGCTGAAATTTCACCTTACCTTAAAAATGGGTTTTATTTCTTCTCGTGCCACCCCCATCTGCACCTGCAGGGAAGCTTTACCTGCATTAAACTATATTTGTTACCCAGAGCCATCAGAAGAAGAAAGAAAAAAAAAAAAAAACTGAAGATTTGTAGTTAGAAACACAGGGTCCTTTTTTCTGGATTTTAAATAATAGGAACTTAAATCATACAGACAACATAAGATGAGGAATGAGGATCCATTATACTATATGCATTTGGACCTACCGTGCCCACATAACTGTCCCCCAAACATCACAAGCCTCTGTGAGTGACCTTCTTCCTCCTACCTCACCTATATTGCAGCACAGCAGGGTAAGGAGCTATCCTGAGATCACGTTAGGATTGGTTTGATGATGTTTAATACATTCTCCAAACCAGTCCTTTCAACGACTGGCACCAAACCAAAAAGTAGGACATGGGAGGAAGTTTAAAGCTTTTGTATGTTGTTTTTAATGCTTAAGAAGGTGCCTCTCTTGGTTAATTCCCTGCTCCCCCACTCCAGATACTTTGGGAGGTTGCATAATTGAAAAGTTTTATTTATTTAAGTAATCTCTACACCCAGCGTGGGGCTCAAATTTACGACCCCGAGATCAAGAGTCATGTGCTCTTCTGACTGAGCCACCCAGGTGCCTCTCCTTCCAATAATGTCTTGAGGCATCCCTATAATTTTTGTACTTTCTTTCAAAACCAGGAAACTTGCTTATAATTTCAAAGAAGGCCAGCAATAAGACCTAGTTAAATATTGAAAGTGAGTTCTGAGTTTTTATCTCATTCTGGTGTGCAGTACTAAATACTGGAGGATAAGATAATTTGTAATATTTATGAAATACTAGTCTCTCTAATTTATTCCTGTTTACTTACATAAAGGATTTGAAGCAGTTTACAATACCAAAGTATGTATATACAACAAGACAATAAAAAACAATTCATTTGAGGCAAAAAAATAATATTTTTAGCTGGATGTCATCAAATACCTGAATTGGGTAATTAATTCGGTTTAATATTATATTAACTTTAGCTGTGAGGTTCTGACAACCAAAGCAAACCATATGCTCTTCCTATCATCCCAGTGCCTGGGAGAGCTTCTGGATGCCCCACCGCGGGATCCTGAGCTAATAAACTGCCTCTAAGAGCAGTATGTGGAAGCTGTTTGGGCCAGGCCTGAGACCTCTGGGCAGGAGCCCCAAATTCCAGCCCTGTTTTTGACTCACTTGGAAGGATTTTCAGGCCTCTAAGGATCAATCTATTAATCATTACATCATTTAGTCAGATTGCCAAGCTATGGCCCCTTGGGCCAGTTCTTGGTTCTTTGGGGTCTGTGCCAATTATCTTGTCTGGGAGGGACCATCAGTGGTTCAGTCTGAGAAACAAGGGAGGCTGGGCGAGTCCTGATCCAATTCCTATGCAGGGTCACCCCGAATCACTGGGGCTCAGCTCCTCTTCCTGCATTAGGTTGATGGCAGTGTCTTAGTTTCTCATACACCCATATGGATTGCAGAGCCACGCATAGAGCAGCCTGCACACTGGCTTTTGATTCTCAAATTGTTACCAGTTGGCAAAGAGAGAAGCTTACACCACAGTGTAAGACAGTCATGTCACTAAAATCCACGATGTAGTTTTACTGACTCCCTTTCCTTCCCTCCCTCCGTCCCTCTCTTCCTTCCTTTTGGTAGCAGGACTGTTTTGTTGAAGGATGCAGTGTATTGAATTACATTCTGACCCAAGCTCTTTGTCCCATTGAGATAAGCCACTTGGTTTGGGGCCAAACGAGGTCAACGTGAAGCAGTGCATGTGATGTAAATGCAGAGTGTGGTTAACATCTCCGAAGATAAAAATAATCGTGCATTCAATTGCCATTAATTTGAGAATCAGGCACGGATTGCTTAAATAGACTTCAGTATTCATGGTGCTGCCAGCACATTGGTTTGCAGGTTCATTCACTCATTCATTTGCTGTGCGTCTATCAGATGTCCAGGACCAGGCTAGCGTCTCAGTGTTGCTCAGTAATATTTTTGCAGGGAAGGGATGGCAGAGCTCCATAGCAATTATGTAGTGGCATAAATATTCTTTCTCAAGTGAGTGCCATGTTACTCTTGCTGTGCAAAGATGAAAAGGCATGCCGAATCGCATTAATGTTTCTTCTATTACCAGTTCAGAATTCTGAATTCTCTGGCTTAGAAAGGATCTTAGCAAGACATGAGTTTCCAAAAGAGATTAATATGACCCCAAAGCCAAGTAGCATGCCCCTGTGGAAAAGAAAATCCATCAGTAATGCAAATCATGGGTGGAAGAAATGCCTCTTGTGGAATAAAAACATGGAGGAACCTCCGATGTCAACCATAGTTGTCAGGTAGGTGTCTAATTTTTGTCTGCCGCCAACATATTTAGAGATATCCAGGATGACGACAAACTCTCTTTATGACTTAGCTAAAAAATGATTTAGTGTGGTCTTTGAGATACATGGGAAGCCTGAAAACAAGGATGGCTATGTATTAAAGCACATAAGCCCCATTTTCACACACCCAAGTGTCTGGAGGAGCCCTCACTGAGAGAAAACTCGGGGAGAGAGGAGCAGGTGTGTGGGTCCCCCAGGAGCCATTGCCTTGCAAGCTGGTGAGCAGAGATCTAGCAGGGCTGCAATGGGATTCTTGGAGAGGGAACCAACCACTGAACTGTAGCTCTTTTACACTGCATGAGTCAGGAAACACCAGGTCACCCCCAGCATGACCAGCAGCCTAGGGTCTAACAGCATAAACAGTAGAAATTTGGCTTGATCTGTAGTCTGCCAGATTTTACCTAGACAGAAATGGGAGCCATTTCAGGGTCTTGATGAGAGGGGGGTGACTCAATCTGATCTGAACCCTCCCTGGCCTGTAGGGGGGCAAGGGTGGACTCAGAGAGGGGTGATGGGCCTCAGACTAGGTGGTAACAGTGGGGATATGGAATTGCCTGGATTCTGACACCTGAAGTTGTAAGCTTTGGGGGCGCCTGGGTGACTCAGCTGGTTAAGTGTCTGACTCTTGACTTTGGCTGGGGTCATGATCTCGGGGCCCTGGGATTGAGCCCCGTGTCTGGCTCCGTGCTGGCTGTGGAGCCTGCTTGGGATTCTCGCATCCTCTGCCTCTGCCCCTCCCCCCTCTTGCTCATGCACTCTCTCTCTAAAAAAAAAAAAAAAAAGCAAGTTATAAGCTTTGGTTCCTTGGCAAATTATCTTTGTTGGTCTGCTTCCTTCCCTAATTATGCCAGATGGATGACGTCTCCATATTGTTTCTTTAGTATTGCCGCATGTTGCTGTACAATACCTAATAAAGAATTTCTACTCAGTACTTCGTAGGTATTCTAAAAATGTTGCCAAGCTGACAGGAGAAATATATAATTTGCTATAAAGAGAGAGTTCTCTCTGCTTTGAAAGTAGCAGACACAGGGAGAGACTTCCAGCTCATGAATTTGCCTGTACGGGATGCTCCCACTGGGACCATTGTTCTATGGAAGTAATGTCCTTGTCTACTTTTTTCCCCCAGTGTCCTCAGTGGCATAACCTGACAATTTGACTTAAAAGTCCATATTCGAAGAAGGCAAAGATATGTTATAAAAGAATTAGAATGGTGGTATTTTCTTCTTGGACAATACAAGGCACTAAATTTGCATCCAGATTAAGGGTGTAAGTTATTTAAGTGATGACTCCTGATTACTTGAGTTAAAATTATTTGACCATACTCTGGAGGCCTATTAAAAAAAAAAAAGAAAAAAACAATTTCACAATCATGGAAAGTTTGTATACCTCAATTTCAGGCCATAATGTCTTGACATGAACTAATATATTTTAATTTACATCTTAGTTTGTGTGGTTTCTGAAAAGATAGCTCAATTGTTAGAACATAAGAAATGATCTATTTATTCACATTTTCTTCTATGAACATTCATTTGCTTTCCTTAAAAGCTAGGACTGGTAAAAGCAGGCATCCTGTACTTGTTCTTAATGTCAGGGGAAAATAATTCAGTATTTTGTTGGCTATTGGTTTTTGCAGGTTACTTTTATCAGTTTGAAGAAGTTCATGACTCTGGCTGGTTTGCTTAGTTTTTATCATAATGGATACTGAATTTTGTCAAATGCTTTCTCTGTATGTATCCATCAAGTTGATCATATTTATCTTTTCTATTAATATGGTGAATTGTATTATTTTTAAAAATATTTTTATCGTGGTAGAATGTACATAACATAAAATTTCCTATTTTTCCCATTTTTTTAAGTGTAAAGTTTGGGGGCATTAAGTACATGCACATTGCTGTGTATACCATCATCACCGTCCATCTCCAGAACTTTTTCATCTTCCCAGACTGAAACTCTGTCCCCATTGAACACTAACTCCCTATCCCCTCATCTCTCCAGCACCTGGCAAACACTGTTTTACTTTCTGACTCTATGGATTTGCCTAATTTAGACACCTCAAATAAGTGAAATCATACAGTATTTGTCCTTTGGTGTCTGGCTTATTTCACTGGGCAGGTTTTCAAGGTTCATCCATACTGTAGCCTGTGTCAGGAATTCCTTCCTTCTAAAGGCTGAATAACATTCCATTGTCTGTATATAATACATTTTGTTTTATCTAAACAAAAATTCCCCACCATTTACTGAAAAGATCATCCTTTCCCTATTGAATGGTCTTAGCACCCCTGTCAATTCATTTGATCATTAAAAACAACAACAACATTTGATCATATATGCAAAGGTTTATTCTGAGTTCTCTATTCTATTCCATTGTTTATAAGTCTGCCCTTATGTCATATCACACATTGTGTGTGTGGATATATATACAATTATGTATTATTATTACATATTAAAGCTCTAATATTTGGCATGTAAATGTTTATGATTGTTATATCTTCTTGCTGTACTGACCCTTTTGCCATTATATTATGTCTTTATCTCTTGTAAGAGTTTTTTATTCTTCTTTGAAATTAGTATGGCCATCACTGTTCTCCTTTGCTTACTATTTGCGAGGAATATTTTTTTTTCATCCTTTCATTTCTAACACATGCGTGTCCCTAAATCTAAAGTGAGACTCTTGTAGGCAGTGTATAATTGAATCCCAACTGGTTTTATTATCCACTCTATCGGTCTATGGTTTTTGGAGAGTTTAATCCATTTACATTTGAAGTAATTACTAATAAGGAAACGCTTGCTTTTGCCATGTTGTTTTCTGTATGTTTTCCCTATTTTTTTCGTCCCTCGTTTCCCCCATTACTGCTTCCCTTTGTGCTTAGTTGATTTCTTGTACTGACGCATTTTGATTCTCTTTTCATTTCTTTCTGTGTATCTTCTATGGGTATTTTTTTGTGTGTGTGTGGTTACCATGGGGATTACATAATAACATCCTAAAGTTATAACAATCTATACTATAGATTATTAACTATATCTTATATGTAGTTACAACAATCTATAACAATATATCTTTAATTGTTACCAACTTAACTTCAGTTGCTGCTCTGTCCCTCCACTTACATTATTGATGTCACATATTACTTTTATATATTGCATACCCATTAACATAGATACACAATTACATCTTAGGCATTTGTCTTCTAAATCCTATAGAAAATAAAAAGCAGAGAGGCAAACCAAAATTATAAAAACACTATTTTTATATTTGTGCATATATTTACCTTTACTGGAGAACTTTATATTTTCATGTGGCTTTGAGTTACTATCTAGCATCCTTTCATTTCAGTTTGGACACCATTTAATGTTTCTGGTGGGGGCAGATCTAGTGGTAATGAACGTCCCCAGTTTTTGTATAGGAATGTCTTAAATTTCTTCCTCATCTTTGAAGATGTAGTTTGCCACATGTAGAGTTATCAGTTGACAATTGTTTTTTTTCCTTTCAGCATTTTAAATATGTCATTCTAACTGCCTTCTGGACTGCAAGGTTTCTGGTGAGAAATCTGCTAATCTTATTGGAGATCACTTTATGTGATGAGTGGCTTTTCTCTTGCTGCTTTCAAGATTCACTCTTTGTCTTTGACAGGTCTGATTATAACGTGTCTCACTGTAGGGCTCTTTGTGTTTATCCTACTTAAAGTTCATCGAACTTCTTGGATTTGTATATTCATATCTTCCCTCAAATTTAGCCCTTCTTTTTTTCAAATAATCACCCTGTCTCTTTCTCTCCTCTCTCACGTCACTCCCCTCCTTCTCTGTCTAGGACTCCCATTGTATGTACATTGGTTGGCTTGATGGAATTTGTCCCATAAGTCTTTTAGGCTCATTCACCTTTCTTCATTCTTTCTTCTTTTTGCTCCTCGAACTTGATCATTTCAAACGACTTCTCTTTAAGTTTGCTGATTTTTTTTCTACTTAAACATTGAGTCTGCTGTTGAACCCCTCTAGTGAATTTTTCCATTCAGTTATTATAATTTTCAGCCCCAGGATTTGTTTGGTTTAAAAAAATAATAATGTGCCCCTCTTTGTCGATACTCTTTATTTTCTTCACATACTGCTTTCCTGATATCCTTTAGTTCTTTGGCCATGTTTGTCTTTAGCTCTTTTGAGGTATTAGACATTTGTTTTAAAGCCCTTGTCTAGTAAATCTGACGTGCTATGTTTTTCTGTTTCTTTGAAGACATTATGACCCTTTGTTGAAAACTGAGCACTTTTGCAAAAACGAGCCTCTCTTACACTGATGGGTAAGACCCTCTCTCACTGTGAGTCTTCAGATCAGCCCAGGACTTCTCAGATCTTTTCTGGGTATGCTTCCTGTCTAGGCCTGTATGTTTCTTTTTCTTCCTTTTTAATTTTCCCTCAGCTGCTTTTAAATGTCTTAATTTCCTGAAGAGTCTCCGCCTTCTTCTCAGGGCCTTAAGTGCTCTATTGGATTCCTTTTTTTGTGATCTCCTTCCTGGCACCCGAGAGGCTGTAGTCAGCCTGTACCTTTCAAGTGTTTGTGTGTCACTGCCTCTTGGGGTTTCTTCTCTCACATCCAAACTATGCTAGCATCTCCCTCCTGAACTGTGAGTCAGGCAAGACAGCAACCAGTCCCTCAGGTGGCCTGCACACAGGCCAGAAGTTTACAAACAAGTTCCACTCTGCTCCTTCTATCCCAAGGGAGGGAGCTGGGAATTAGGTGAATTTCTTCCAACCCCACCATACAGGGTAGTGGTGGGGCGGGGGGGGGGGTGTGTGTGCTAATTATATGAGTACTGTGGTGTGTGTGTGTGTGTGTGTGTGTGTGTGTGTGTGGGGGGGGGGGGGGGTGTGTGTGTGGGGAGGGGAGCGTGGTAGGGGTAAGAATGCCACACAATTTCCTACAACTTTCAATGTTATTTTTCTTTGTTGGACATTGACTTGTTTGCTGTAGATGTTTAGTTTCTGTAGTTTGATGTTTCTATGGAGAAATGAGGGTATTTAGAAGAGCAAACTATTCCATGCTAGTTTGGTAGCCACTGAAATTATGCCCTTGTCCTTGTCACTAGATATGGCACTAATTAAAACCCGAAAGTTCCAAGGACGGTTAAGGTAGCTTGCGGGTATGCCTTTTATAACATCCCACATTACACAAGAATGAAGACTACGTAGTAAATAATTATGATAACTGATCCAGAACACTGCTTTTATTTCCAGTGAAATAACCCAGTTTTCCCTTTATGGACTTTTTATTAATTTATGGGGTTTAGGGGAACTAAGATTGTTGTTTCTTTTCTTGTTTGTGTTTCTTTTTTAATACTACTACTGCTCCATCTGCTTGCTTGCTAGGTGGTTGAAAAAGAACATGCAACCCACCGAAGACCTTCAGTCAGTGATCCAGAGGCTGTCGGTGTTTGGGCCTATTAAGTCCGTCACCCTCTGTGGACGGCAAAGTGCTATCGTGGTGTTCAAAAACACGACTTCAGCTTGCAATGCTGTGAATGCTTTTCAAAGCATGACCCCAGGCACAATGTTTCAGTGCTCCTGGCAACAGAGATTCATGTCGAAAGACGTTAAGACTCCCTGTGACCCAAATCCTATGTAAATTCTTAAAGCTTGTGGTATGTAACTGGTTTGTCATCAGGGCTCTAGTGAAATATGATAACCATAAATGATATGTTAGCACTGAGAAAAGGCACAGTTTATTTAGTCCGAGTACTGGAAATCAGAAATGACAGCACATCCCTTCCTTTGAAATGCGTAACTCTGCTGTAACAGCATCACAGCTTGGCTTTTCGGGATAAGAAGTCCATGACTGCATTCATGCATTCGTCTGACAGCCATCTTTCCTGGAGGATGCTGCTTTCTTCAGCATTAACAGCGTGCAGCTTTTCCTTCTCGTGATTTCTGATGATCTGTTTCGAAATATGCATGGCCTGAAAACACAAAACCAACAATAAGGTTAAGGGCATTCTAGAGGGAATGGGATTATTCTATAGTGCCGATTTTTGTTTCTCCATGGTTCACGGAATCCTGTCACGTCTTCAGATGGATGTGTAACATAGGACAGTGCTTCTCAAACTTGAATGTGCATAGGATTCATCTTGGTAGACACGGGAGAGGGCCTGGGATCACATATTTCTAGAAAGCCCCAGAGAGAGACTACAGCTTCTGGTTCCAGGACCACATTTTGAGCAGAAAGAATATAAGAGCAGTCAGTCACGAGTTATCACATATAAAAACCAAAGTGCTACACAGTAAGAATCTCCTAAAAGTCAACCTATCTGGCTTCTCACCTGGATTCAAGAATAAAAGTGCTCAGCAAATACTGCCCATCCCCCTCCTCAAAGTTATCCCCAGAAAGAACTGTCCCTCTGCCTTCATATGTATCATAGCAATGAAACGCCTATCTGAGAAGTTTTTAAAAAAAACAGTACTTCTAACATTATTATAGTTATTTTTAATCTCAAATTTAGATGTGCTTACAGCCAACCAAGGTATATCTTGTTTTTTAAAATGCTTGTTATCTCTTAAGGCAAAAAAATTATTTCCATGGTTTCTACTAGGAAAAAAAACCCCAAAAAACAAAAGACAACACTAACATTCTGGGGGAGCTCTGAATATGCTTTCAGCCTGGTCCAAACTTCTTTCTGAAAGGTGCTATCAGGAAAAACTTCAGTAACAAGTCCTTGAGCACAGGCTTCTCCGGCAGTTAACTTCTTCCCAAAAATGAGCATCTCTACTGCCTGAAACGAAAAGCAAGATTAAAACATTAACTTAATGAAACACAGGTCAGTTAACCTCAGAACTAACTGCTTTCAGGAGACAGGGCAATTCCCTTATGGTCTTTTGAGGATGCCAGTATTTCTTGTTAAGGGAGAAAGTGAAGACCTCAATAGGCAATGTTTTGCAAATTGTGCTGAGAGCATCTCAGGCTCTCTGGAAGGTTTGCAAGTATTTTTGCTTCTATATGTGTCTGTGCTGGGAAGGCAAGAGCAGGGAGCCACAGATCCGCAGAAAGGACCTGAAGCAGATGCTGATCCCGTAACCCACACAGCTCGAAATTTGTTTTATACACTATAAACAATTACAAAAGAAAACAGAACTAAAAAGAAAAGGAAAATCCAGGTCACAGTGAATGCCAACCAAACTTTAGACACCCTAACTTTCAAACTTCCCTTCCTTGGAAACTCTACGCAGTGGTCCAGCTCTGACAGTTTTCTTTACCAGCACAGGTACTACTAATTAGTTCTACCTGGCCAAAAGAAAGGGAGGAAGGACTAACAAAGGGAGGAAGCTTCTAACAAAACTGAGCTCACTGAGTGGATATCCTCTATATTTCCAGTTGTGCTTCTGGAAAAATATTATTTCATAGTCAAATGCCCTAAGCCTTAGAGTTGGTTCTGCCCAACTTTTCAAAGTTAAAATCTGTAATAATGACTCAGGGCATGTGACAGAATAATGAGCCTTATAAACTATATATTTGCAACGAAAACCTAGCAGTCAATGAAAACAGGCTCCATTCCAACCCCACCATGTTCAGACCTCCAAGAATTGGCTAAGCCTCCCCTTATCCCCGGCTACCCGCTGTTTGGTCTCATCATGATTACCTGGAGTCATGCACACTGAGCCTGGGCACCCAGGCTTCCATAGACACGGGGACAGACCTAGGCAGCCACAGAACCCCTCTGGGAGCCTGAACAGACGGCTAAACTTACTCAGTGAAGAGGCTGCTATGACTGGGAGCAGCTATGGAAGGTGTAAACCCCCAGGAGGACTCGCATCTGCTGGTACCTCCCGAATCTCAAAGTCAAGATGTCATCTTATGGCTTCCAGAGGATGCTGCTCATCCACACAGAAATCAAGTGGGGCCACGAGGTGGCACAGCCCTGGTCCTCTAATGACTCATGCCACATAGCAGTGGAGGACAAGGCACCGGGCACCCAGCTGCAAGAGCAGATCCTAGTCTGCAGAGTCATGGAGAGTTTCTAATTTTCCCTCACAGCAGACATTTCCCATAGCCTAGCTCTTCTACATTTGAAATTTTTAGAGTTGAGGAGCAAAGAACTCACTTTTCTTCTGTCTATATTATCGAGGAAAAGAAAAGAGTATAGAATTACTTTTTGAACAGAGGTTACTTTTTTTTTTTTTAAGATTTATTTATTTATTTGAGAGAGAGAGAGAGAGTGCAAGTGGGGGGAAACATCCGAAATCAAGAGTTGGATGTTTAACCGACTGAGGTGCCCCCAGAGGTTACTTATTACAACTTAAGGTTTCCAAGAGTTACCTTGGCTGGGCCCATTATCTTCGGAAAAGTGTAAGAGGAACATCCTTCTGGAGTTTGGCCAAGGTGACTAAAAGGAGTGTGAAATGTTGCCTATTTGGAAAAAAAAGAAAAGACAATTACTTTTTGTATGTGATTTTTAAAAGTCACTATTTGTATATATCCTCACAATACTTAAGTTTTTTAAAAATTAGGATTGCTGTGGTATTATATACACACCAAGTTTGCTCTTAGATAGGCAGCTTGGTGAGTTTTAATGAAGGTACACAGTTACGTAGCCATCACCATGTCAAGATACAGAATATCTCCATCAGCCCAAAGGGCAACTTGTGCCCTCTGCAGTCAGTCCATTCCTGTCACCGCCAAACCACCACCGATCTGTTTTCTGTCCCTTGTTTTGCCTTCTCTAGAATGTAATATAAATGGAATCATACATTCTGTAGCCTTTGGTCCTTAGCATAAGCCTTTTTGAGAGTCACCATGCTATTGTATTGGTAGCTTGTTCCTTGTCATTTCTGAGTAGAATTCCATTGTATGGATGTCACAGTTCCTGTATCCATTCACCAGTTGAAGCCACTGGTGATATTTCTAGTATTTTGGCTATGATGAGTACGACTGTTAATGAAAATTTGTACACAGGTCTCTGCATGAACGTGTTTTCAGTTCTCTTGGGTAAATACGTAGTGGTAGAATTACTGGGTTGTGTGGTAAATTGTGGTTTAAGAACAAAAGAATTTCCAACGTGGTGTATCATATACCACTCCCCCCCAGTTGCTCCAAACCCTCGCTAAACCTTGTCATTTGTCAGTTGTTTTAACTCAAACCATCCTGGTAGGTGTGTAATAGTGTCTTGTGGTTTTAATTTATATTCTGTAATGACTAATGATGTTGAGCATCTTTTCATGTGCTTACTAGCTCTTTTTATATCTTCTTTGGTGAAGAAACCATTATAATACTTTGCCCACTATTTTTAAGTTAGATTGGTTGTGTTTTTATTATCACTACACGGCTGGGGGGAGTGGTACATGATACACCTCTAGAGCCATCTTTAGTTTTTGTTTTTGTTTTTAAATAGACTCCATGCCCAGCATGGAGCCCAGTGAGGGGCTTGAACTCATAACCCTGAGATCAAGACCTGAGCTGAGATCAAGGGCTGGATGCTTAACTGACTGAACTACCCAGGCACCCCTTGTTTTTTTTATTTTTTAAAGATTTATTCACCTATATTAGAGAGAAAAAGGGAGGGAGGGGAGAGGGGCAGGGGCAGGGGAAGAGAGAATCTCAAGCAGACTCCCTGCTGATCACGGATGCAGGGATGGATCTCACGACCCCGAGATCATAACCTAAGCTGAAACCAAGAGTCAGAAGCTCAACCGATTATACCACCTAGGTGCCCCCCCCTTTTTTTGATTTAAGAAATATTTTTGTGTGTTTCTTGAGAATGAGAAGTCCTTATGAAAGGAAATTAATTTATACTTGACAATATATATACAGAACATTTAGACTTCACTTCCCATAATCAGATTTGGTGCTATTTCTTAATGAATATTGTTAGAAGACATAAATATATAATATATGCAGTATATAAGTGAAAAGTAAAATAAAAAGTTACTAATGTCACCTATCACCCCCTCCCCCCAAAAGCAAGCTTATTCAAGAAGATGTACTGAGAAGTCACAGCCTAAGGAGAGTAAGTGGGAAAGCGAAAGAAAACGCCAACCGTAGCTAAAGGGCCACAAACAGGTATGTGAAGACCTGACAGTAAGCAGCATTTAACTTATTTTCAGAAATAGAGCAGTAAATGTAATTAAGGGTCAGGCTCTGGCATCCGACTGCTTGGTGACTCTGGGAGCTTCTTAACCTCTTTGTGCCACAGTGAACTCTTTTGTAAAATGGAGACAAAAATACCTATCTCATAGGGCTGCTGTGTGCATTAAGTGAGTATGTATCACGTGCAGCAACAGAGTGCCTAGGATGCGGTGAGTATTCAAATATTATTTTTATGACTACTACCCTTTTAGTACCTCATAAGGGAAATGTATAATTTGCTGACAAAGAAGCTAATGGGCATTGTTAACTCTTGCCCATAATAAAGAATAATTTGGTTGTATGAGTGTTAAACCCACATTTAATATGGTATTTGTTTATGAAGCCAATAATGATAAATCCTATAAAATGCATTCCTCTTCACAGATTCTTTCTTCTGTGTCTTTCTCTGATTTTAAATTGAACCTTGGTTTAATTCAGTTGGATGAACTCTTAGTAGTCGTCACTATTTGTCAAATATTTTACTCGGGGCCAAACGTTTTAGCATTTGAAGT